ATTTTAGATTTTTCCTTGCTTCTCATGTGGGCATTTATTGCTATAAATTTACCTCTGGACAGTGCTTTAAATGTGTCCCAGAGATTCTGGTATGTTGTGTCTTCGTTGTCGTTGGTTTCGAAGAACAACTTTATTTCTGCCTTCATTTCACTGTTTATCCACTCAACATTCAACAGCTAGTTGTTCAGTTTTTATGAAGTTGTGTGGTTCTGAGTTAATTTCTTAATCCTGAGTTGTAATTTGATTACTCTGTGGTCTGAGAGACTGTTTGTTATGATTTCTGTTCTTTTGCATTTGCTGAGGAGTGATTTACTTCCAATTACTGGTCAATTTTAGAGTAGGTGTGATGTAGTGCTGCAAAGAATGTATATTCCGTGGATTTGGGGTGGATAGTTCTTTAAATTTCTATTAGATTTGCTTCGTCCAGATCTGAATTCAAGTCCTGGATATTCTTGTTAATTTTCTGTCTTTGATCTGTCTAATATTGACAGTGGAGTGTTAAGGTCTCCCACTATTATTTTGTGGGAATCTAAGTCTCTTTGTAGGTCTTTCAGAACTTGATTTATGTATCTAGGTGCTCCTGTATTGGGTGCATTTATATTTAGGATAATTAACTCTTCTTGTTGCATTGATCCTTTTACCATTATGTAATGCCCTTCTTTGTCTCTTTTGATCTTTGTTGGTTTAAAGTCTGTTTTATCAGAGACTAGGATTGCAACTCCTGCTTTTTTTTGCTCTCCATTTGCTTGGTTAATCTCCCTCCATCCCTTTACTTTGAGCCTATGTGTGTCTTTGCATGTGAGATGGGTTTCCTGGATACAGCACACAAATAGGTTTTGACTTTTTATCCAATGTGCCAGTCTGTGTCTTTTGATTAGGGCATTTGGCCCATTTATACATTCTTTTCAGAGGTGGACCAGCAATCCATCTCGGTAATGATGGATTACCATCCCCCAACAGAACTGGGCCATCCCTTTCAGATTGCTGGTTTTTGTGGGGGTGGGACCCACTGAGCCAGATCACCTGGCTCCCTGTTTCAGCCCCTTTTTTTCAGTTGAATGGGCGGCTCTGTCTCCCAGGGGTTCCAGGTGCCAGTTGAAATGACCGCTGAGATTTGTGTGAGTTTTTGTGCAGAGACCTGCTGTGCCAGCTGAAACAGCCATCCTGGAAACTCATGGCACTTTTCAGCCTGGGAATCTCCTGGTCTGTGGGCAGTAATAATTCATTTGGAAATGTGGTGTTCACTCACCCTCTGCATTCTTCTCCCTCCAGAGCTGTTCCTATTCTGCCATCTTGGATCCTCTCTGCCCACAATCTTAATAATATGAGAGAATTCTATTGGAATTCCATTTCAATAGAATTTTCTAAATCCTTGATTTTAAAACAATTAAAAATTTGCCAGTTTTTTGAGGGGAGAGAAATAGTTTATTACATTGCTGTTTGTATTTGGATTTTTCTTTTCATTGGTGAGTTTGAGCAAATATTTATATTTATCGACTATTAGAACAGATAGTCTATATCCTTTGCCCAATTTTCTATGCCATTTCCATTAACACATTTATTGCTTAGTTAACAATTTTTCATAGAAAAGTTAGCCCATTGTCTGTCTTATGTAATCAAAATTTTTCCTGAGCTTCATATACTTCTTTTAATTTTGTTATTTTCTTCATGCAAAGAAATCAGTAATTTTCTTCAAAATTGTTTTCATTTGTGTCTTCTGGATTTTGTCTTGCTTACAAAGTGTTATTTGTTAAAAATAAAAATTATTTTAACACGTTTACTAAAGCATAATTTACATACTACATACTAAAAAATTCACTGATTTTACATGTAAAATTTAATGATTTTAGTAAATTAATAGATTTGTGCAATTATCACAATCCAGTTTTATATCATTTTTGTCAGGTCCAACATTTCTCTGTTTATAGCTAATTTCCAGCAAAACCCTGAGCCGTAGGCACCCAATGATCTCCATTTGCATCTATAAATTTACCTCTTCTAGATATTTGAAGTAAATGAAATCATACAACATGTAAACTTTTGTGTCCACTTTCCTTCACTTAGTTAACATTATTGAAGTCCACCAGTTTTTTAGTATGTATCATCATTTTGTTTCTTTTCATTTCTTTTTTCTTGTTTTCACTTGCATAAATTTATAAGGTACAAGTGCAGTTTTGTTACATGCATAGATTGCATAGTGGTGAAGTCAGTGTTTCTACAGTTTCCATCACCCCAATCACATGCATTGTACCCATTAAGTAATCTCTCATCATCTAGAGTACAAGGGTTGAAACTTGCCTTGGGAAAACTACCCTCAGGTTAATGGTATCTCCCCTGCCAGATAAGTCTATTTTTGTTCCCTTTTACTGTTGAATGATATTGCCTTGCATGTATGTAGTACCATTTTGTTTATCCGTTTACTAGTGGAGGGATATTTGGATTGTTTTCAGTTCAGGTCAACTATGGCTAAGTCTGTTCTGAATACTTGAACACAAATCTTTTTGAGGACATATGTTTTTATGTCTCTTAGGTAGGTTCTAAGGAGTGAAATTGCTGGGTCATATGGCAAACATATGTTAAAATTTTTGTGAAATTACCAGATTTCCAGGTATTTGTATAATCATAAACTTCCACCAGAAACGCACAGGGGTTTAGAAAGTCAGATTGTCTTCAGACATAATAATAATGATAGTATTAGAAATATTATCTGTTGGCCTGGTGCGGTGGCTCATACCTGTAATCCCAGCATTGCCTTTTTAAATGTTAGGTTTACTTTTTTAATTAACAAGTAAAAATTCTATAGTATATTTATGTTGCAGAGCATGAAGTTTTGATATATACCTATACTGTGGAATGTCTAAATCAAGCTATTTAACATATCCATTACCTCCCCTACTTATGACATATATATAGAAACCATTATTCTATTGGGAAATAATCTTCCCTTTTTCTTTTCTTTTTATTTTTCCTTGGAGCCTGATGGACCGGATGCATTTTAACTCCATGTTTGAGAAAAATGTAATAATGTAATGTGTTTGTGGCACAGGGTGAGTACAGATGCAGGGGAGGCATGAAGGGTTAGGTAAAGGGGAGCATAAAAATTGAAGATGAGGCACTGCCATCAATGCTGGGACTTCAGGACAAGGGCAGGAGTTCAGGAAGCCACAAAGGAGTCATTTTCTGCTGAGTTGCTGAACCAATAGCAACCAGGTCCTGAGAAAGCTCTCTCTTGTGGAAGAATAAGAGCCAAGTGGGAAAGTTTTTAATCCTGCAAAGCTGGGGCAGAAGGTTCTTCCTTGAATGTGGTCATCTTCACTTCAGCTCAAGGGTCCTGCAAAAGACAGAGGATAGTGTTGTGTTCAGACCTGGCTCTACTAACAGCGACTTTTTCCCTCTTTTAAGGACTCAGATGAGAGCACAGCAGGAGGAAGAAAAACAAGTTCCTAAGTCTCCCTGAGCCAATACCTGCAGAGCACAGGTCTTTTCTAAGTGGAGAGGAGGAATTTTGGTGTAACTTGTCTGATCAGAAATTTGGATCCAAAGTCTTGTCTATGATTTCTGTCTCATGCCTTATCACCACTAACATCATTCTAGGGACACTGAATCTGTTTCTAAAAGGGGATTAGAAAGTATTACCTGTTGGCTGAAGTCCAGAGTGTCCTGGGAAAAAGAGGAAAAGATATACACTTAAAAGATATGGAAGTAGGGGAGATCCAAGATGGCCGTTTAGGAGCAGCTCAGGATTGCAGCTCCCAGTGAAAGCGCAGAGGGTGAGTGGACGCTGCGTTTTTATTGCCCACAGACTAGGAAATTCCCGGGCAGAGGAGCTCCATGGTCGCCAGCGCGGCTGTTTCGGCCAGCGCGGCTGTTTCGGCCAGCGCGGCTGTGCCGGCCAGCGCAGCTGTTTCGGCCAGCGCGGCTGTTTCGGCCAGCGCAGCTGTTTCGGCCAGCGCCGCTGCTTTGCCCCGCGCGGCTGCTTTGTCGGCGCCCCGGAGCTGCGGTTCTCCGTACAAAATACACCGGTCCGGGGGCCCTTTTGGCTGGCGATTGGGGCCACGGGAAGT